TTAGAAGGAAAGAAGGTCTGGTGGCAAGAGTTTTCGAGACATAGAGAAGTACGGGTTTCGACGTCCATTGAGCCAGAGGTATCATCATTGCGAGACAAGTGATGGAAGGTCTATTTATAAAAGTAAAAAAAGGGGAATATGCATAACTGCTTTGTTAAGTAAATAAAAAGAAGAGGAAAAGTGGTGTGGTGAAGATCATTGTGTCCCTTATAGTGATATGAAAACTGAATAAATCCAAGCGAATGGCCGACAAAAGTACCAGATGTTCGAAATTATGTCTAAATGATTATAACTGAGCCAAGCCCTTAATGATTTATATATAAACTGACGACGCCATTTCAGATATACTCAAGAAAGTCGCTCTAATTGGCCTACTTATCTTGCTGAAGTATGACGCTGTCGCAGAGGGCAAAGACCTGAAATACATTAAATCAGTTAGAAAAATGGTGCTAGTAACGAGCTATATGTATAGTGCAAAGCAAATCGCAGGGCCTGCCAAGAAGTCGGTAGGCTTGGCGCAAGACAACTTAATCGTATCGCTGCGAATGAGGCACAGCTAACCAAAAGTTAATAGGTGCTGTCCTACGCGATGCATTATGTTCAAGATTCCAAGATGTTTCATCGCGTTAATAAAAACCAAGCCCTGCTATCCTCCAAAGTGCAAGCGCGCTTTCAAGCCCGTTGATTAGTTAGATGAGCATGCAAAATCAGGAGGCCAGACGACTTTGTCAATAAATTGCACTCCACTTGAAAGAAAGCTCTTCTGGTAAACTTTGAATATTGACAAGTAAAATAAATTGCAGGCCTAAGGGTTACTAATCACATACTGTGCAATAGCATGCGAATCAGCACTGCCGAATTATTATGCGATATTCTAAAGGGATAATAAATGGTAGGTAAAACAAAAATATGATATATAATGACATCAAGCGAGAGATAAACGGTAACTGCGAGGGAAAGTGGCCTACTGAGCATGGGATCGGTCGAGAGGCAGGGAAGCTCGATCCGTGCAAAGAAATACCAATGTCTGTTCCAGTTATAGCAGCACCATGTGACACCCCTTGAGAATAGCCAGTTGCATGGTAAGGAGGGGAAGGAGTGTAAGCGATTCCACCGCCAGTACCCGGGCTTGAGGGGCACCTGGTACTATCAACAGCCAGCAATCTCGACCATGAACGTGTCGGCTGGGTCATCATCTCACTTGAACCAAATCTAGTCATGAGGCTTAAACGAGCCGATTTGGCCACCGAGATAGCTCCGTTCTGTGCGATAATTTCTGGTTCACTGCAAGTGCCAGGTGAGGATGTAGTCAATAAAGACGCCCGACATAATGAAAAGTCAGTATTGATATGACCTGTCGAGGGGCTGGTGGCAGAGTCGTAACCCGGAGGGACGGCCACCTCGCCGCCAGGCTCTAATGAAGCCAAATTGCGACGCTTTCCAGTCGGTCCAGCATTCGGGTGGCCGAATCTACTATTTGGCGAGGCGGTAGACTGACCGACAAAGGGTTCTCGCCAGGAAACTACATTGGTCTGATGCATCGGTATGATAGTTGCCATGTCAGCAGTATGTGCTGCTCGTGAAGCCTGCAGCCAAGAGGACAATTCGCTTGCTGGTGCTGGGCGACGATTTCCTAAACATGATTATAGCGATATTTTAAATAGTTTTGTTGCGAAGACAAAGTGGAATTTAACAAGCATTTTATATGATACAAAGGCAAAGGGAATTATTGGAAAGATAAGTCAAATTAGTTCAAACGAAGAGAACATATTGAGGAATGTCTACAAGGAATCGAGCGGGAGATATAAATTAATAAATAAGTATAACAAGTATGAAAAGCGAAACCTGCAGGGCCGAGTAACGACTGACCTATCACCAGGGTCATCGGCAGGAAGCAAAGCTGCTTATAATAAAAGCATACCAAAAAAATGGGTGGATTCAGAAGATTTTTTAAAGCAGAGCTAAGTTTTAAATTTGATTATAATTGCACAAATGTTGAGGTCCAAGAAGAACAATACTAGCAATTGGTTTTTACTGATCAAATATGAGCTCAGATATGCAATGGAAAAAACTTCGAGTTCTGACAACATTCTTAATAGGAACGACGAAATCTCAGAATTTTTCACTAAAAGAAAAGTGTAGCGAAGACGGTTTGAGCTTAGACATCAAAGTATGATCAAATCACATCGAAGTAAAATCGCTGACGTGTTCAAAAGTGAGTTCGATTTACGAATCCCTCCTCCGAACACTTATACAAAATGAAAGTCAACCCAATTTTGATTAATTTCCCTAACATAATATCAGATAGAGTAATCGTTTAAGGTAGTTATGCAATAACACTGTTCTTTGACTGATAAACAAAGAGCGCATGCCAACCCACAAAAGTGGCTCAATATTGAATCTAATCAAAGCAAGCAGTACCAAAACATTTGTGGGTTGGCACACAAGAGACAAGGGGCATGGTAAGTCATAGATTTGGTATAACGGATGGAAACAGGATAGACGCGGCGGAGACTGGAGCTAGTTGGCTGACAGTAGGTTATACCAGAGACGTGGTCCCTGTAGCAAAGGCTTGACGATGAGACTTACTCAGAGGCTTAAGCCTCGAATGAGTCACCTAGACGCAGGGAAGAGCGAATAACATCTCGAGTAGCATAGATGGGCTAGCAAGGGTCGAGTGAAATACTTGAACCAGGGAGATAGCAGACTGATTCTACGGGACAAGAGGGAGACTCTGATAAGACCTAGGGAAGGAGGACTGCGTAAGAATATGGCAGACTCTGATCCACATTCCAAGCACATGGGTGAAGGGGGCGTAAAAACGCCAGTGTGGAGTGTGGAGGCCTCTTATGAATGCCTCTCAATAGGGCACACCACACTGCACCTAAATAAGCACGGTAAAAATTGTAACAGTGAAGGCGTAATACGAGGATATAGGAAACGTGAATAGCCCAGGACAGAAGGAGAGATACCACAACTGTTTAGCGCACATTTGGTCAAAGGATAGGCTTTACTTACCTCTTTGACGAGTTGTAGTGTTGTGCTAAGAATGACAAAACTCACTTATGATGCCGACTACGATGGCGGCGAAACGTCTTGGAATGTATCACGTCCACGGTCCGACTGGAAATGATGTGCATGACTCCGGACTAGGTGCGTTCCTCTAAGTCTTCCTACTAATATGACCAAGTTGCGAAAACAAGGTCAAACTACTTCTATACAACGAAAAGAGACTGCGATCACACAAAAGGTCACACCATCTTGCTCTTCATATCTTCGATTAAATTGTATTCTTGTCACGGGACATACCTATAAACTAGATGTGCAGGTTGTACACGTATGTTACAATCCTAATTATAATTACAGAATAAGGAATATATGCAAATCAATGCTGATTTATGTTTTGGAATGTAGAAAACAAAATAAAATTTGTTGGGAGGTCATGAGATTTTATCACTCGGTAATATGAATATATAAAAAGGCTGTTATAG